TAACATATAATTTTTAATACAGAGTTAAAAAATAAAGAACTATCAGTAGTTTATTTTTTTAAAGAGAAACTCCAAAAAAAAAAAAAAAAAACTAATTCAAATCTAACACTTCACGTTATAATCTAATACTCTCTCTTGATATAATTTTGATTATTATAGAACAATTTTTGATTTTACAATCTATTTGGTGATATTTCATTTGATGTAATATGGTTTGCACTCTCTGCGTTTCCTCTAATTTGAAAGTTATATGCGTGGCGCTTTCTCAAAGTTAATTATAAATTTAAGAGTTTGATTTTCTAAACAAAAGAACAATAATAAAGGGTTCGATTTTATAATTGACATTAGAATAAAAGCGGATGCATAAGTCATGTAAAGTTGTAATGTGATCTTACTGCACAACAGTGCAAGATATATATCAGAAATTATTCTATACTTAGTGTGGGTGGATAAAGATATTATTCTTGTTCATTGTAATTAATCCACAATTATCTTTGACATAACCCCTCTATCATAAAATTCCAATAAATGGGCAAGAACATTAAGGAATCTTAAAAGTGAAGAAAGTTGGTGAGGGGGGGAAAAAAAAAAGTAGAAAACTGGTGAAAAGTTTTTGGAGAAGTTTTGACACCGACAGAAAGGAGGAGACAAGATATATTTACATATATGCCTTTATCTTATGCTTTTTTGTTTTTGTTTTTTTTTTTGCTAGAAGTATTTTATGCCATTAACAAGTGCTAATTACTAGCTAGAACCCAAAACTTTTGATCAAACAAAAAACAACAAATTTGGGAACCTTCAAGGCAATTCCCTTCCAACTTTCATCCAAAATCTTTGTATTAAAGTCCCATCTCGTTGAAGAATGTACTGATAGAGAATTGGCTTGAGAGCAAATTGGAAAGCAACCAATAATATTTCTCCTAGCTTTAAATTTTAGAGCAAACAACCATATTGGATGGACAATTTTTTGGGAGGGGGCCTAAACGAGAACACACAGAGTGATGGGAAAAATTACGTCATAATCAATTTAATCCGCTACTGTTGAACACGTTTTCCGGTGCAAGTATTTTGATCTGTCTTAAAGACATTTTTGTGTGATTTTCGCTTCTATAATATTTCTCATCAAATGTGATAGTTTCATTACTTTTATCCCTCACAAGTCACAATGAAATTGGATTTTTGGACGTCACAATTACACTTCATGGCAAAATTTCATACCTTAATTGAAATTGCTTTGAAATTTAGCAAAATTATCAAAATATTCTAAATATAGCAAAAATGACATTGTCATTATTATAATAATGTCACATTTTATACTATGTAATGATATCACACTTTTGTTATTCTTGTAATATTTTAAAATTTTTGTTATATTTAAACTTTACTAATGAAATTTTACTGTATGTGTAAATAACCCTTTTGGGATTGGTTTGAAGTCCATATAAAAGTATATATAAACCGGCCCATCCATCCATATATCTCTAGTATATGTTTTTTAGAGATTTTTACGGTAAGGTTTAAAAAATAAAGTATTAATAGATCTCCTTTCTAAGGTATCACATCTACATAAAAAACTATATATTCCACGTATCTTTTTATTTTGATGTGAATTTAACAATATTTGATGGCCTAAAACTTACAACACCGTAAAAATATGAGAAGAAACCCTACCGTACAAGGATCCTTTCATTTTAGGACGAAAAAGTACCAGATACCAAAAATTAATTCATATCATAATGATTACCATACGCATATCAGAGCACTGTTTCAACTGAGATATCTTGGCATTAATTTGTTGTACTGTGCACCAATTTAATGTATCCGTATGTGTCCTCATTTTCTTGTATTTATTTCACTGCCAAGGTCGTTAGTTTAGGTTTATCGATTAGACAACAGCCATTACTATTATGGATATCAAAATCATATGCGTAATCTAAGGGAGATTCTTGATGTCCACTTACCAACAAATACTGCTATATGGTTATGTATATTCATGATGACTATTTTCAAACTAAAAGAGAATGTTATGCCTATGTTTAAACAAGATTACAACCTCAACACAAAACTTGGACAACTATATATATGGTTAATTCCCCTACTATTTTCCCTTGTACTAAGGATAAAATATAATCATATGGTATGGTGCAGAAAATATTCACCTACTACTAAGTTTGGTTCATCATATCACATTAAAATTATTAAAAAAAAACAGCAGATTTAATAACATTTAAGTGAAAACTTAACTGATTAAAACTGCGTAGTGCCAATAAATATTTTTTGTTTACCTATTATTCATTTAATAATTAACCCAAACCCTTTGTTTGATGGTGTAGTTCTATACATATGTTAAAAAAATTATGATAGAATTAATATGAAAAAAGAGCTGACTACTTACTAGTAACGGTTTTTTATATATGATCCATTTGATTCTAATGAGATCTTATTAGATGTGCATGCTTATTGATTTGTCATAATCTGAAAGTCGAGTACCAATACTTATTCCCTATCACGAAATCGCCCCATCATAATATTCACCGCCCGCTGTTGGGTGCATTTGAAACTCAGTATAAAAAAACTCGTTAATGTCTTTTCTTCTATGTTTGAGAGATGAGAAAACAAAAAATAAAAAACGACTAAGTCATTTTTCATTTTTCTCTAATTTTACACTAAACCAAAAAATTATTTTAATTTCTGTTTTTTTTTTTATCTTTAATTGTGCAAAACATTGTTTTAGAATCATTTTTATTTTTTCTTTCTCGAAAAATGTGAAAAACAAAAACATGAATAATTCCAAACACACAATTGTATCGCAATATACTCCGAGAGACCCACTTAGTAGGGGTGGCAATTCGTGTCATGTGTCGTGTTTTAATAATTTTTTTTTAAATTTGCAGTCAACCCGTGACACGAAATTTTTTAAAAACCGTAACATGAACATGACACGACCACTTTACGGGTTGATACGACACAAAAATGACCCGTGACACGAAATTAACCTGTGAACCTGAAATTGACACAAAAATTGTATACTTTTATTTAGTTTTTTACATATTAAAAATAACTTAAAATTCATAACACATTAAAAATACAATAACATTCATTGAAATTAAACAAATAATAGTATAACATTTTGAGTATAATTATCATGATATCACAAGTTCATAATAAAATAAAAAATATCTAATGAAAAATATATGTATTTTTTAGTTTTTTACGAGTTTCGTGTCGTGTTCGGGTTAGACGGGACTATCGAAATTAACATGTGTTTTTCGTGTCAATTTCAGATCGATCTAATTCTGACCCAAACCCATGAAATTCGTGTCATTCTTAAATCGTGTTGTCGTATCGTAACCCATATTACCAATCCTACCACTTGCTATGACCTCGTTCATTTCACCGATTTGAGTTTTCAATTTCTATAGTAAAAAGTTCTCAAAAAATGTCACATCTAACTTTTTCTGTTACAGTAAATTTTTTTAAAAAAAATATCACATATCAACTTGAAAATTTAAATCCGCGAAAAACGACGCCTATATATATTTTGACATGAACAATATATCTTATATCTATCTATGGGCGGTGATCTCCTCATTTCTTATAATTGATGTCCAAATCAATCTTTTTGAATTTTCAAATCTGAAAAGAACACTTTAATAGCTGTAATTTTCTTCCTCTTTTTGCTTTTACTTGTGGTAATAGCATTAGGGTCTATAAGTCTATAAGTATATGATCTATGACGTGCTCAATAATGATAATGATTGAGTTTTATTCTAATCATAATTTAAAGTTGGTAATAATTTTATTATAATGTTTTTTAATAAGAAATTTAAATTTCTAATTTCTAATTATTTTTTTCTTTTAAATTTATGAGTGTATTTGAAATTAATTTTAAAATAATTTTTTTTTTATGAAATTAGAAATGAAAACATTTTTAAACAGAAATCGTTTTTAAAAATACATTTGATAATTTTATTAAGAGATTATTTTCAATTTAAGAAAAAATTAAAACTCCGTTAAGGTATATAATTTTTACCTACCTGCAAAAAAAAAAAAAGACATCTGTCCAAAAAAATAAAAATAAAAAATAAAAAATAACTTTAAATCGTTTTTATTTTCTAAATAATTTTACACTAAACTAAAAAATAGAATTATTTTCGGTTTTCTTACTTTTTTTTTTTTTTCCTCCAAGCACGTTCTCTTCCTCAATCTCATTTTTTTATCTTAAAAAATGTGAAAAATAAAAGCAGAATTAGTTCCAAAAGCGCTGTATAAATTAAACGGACCACTAGTATATATAAAGCCACTAGCCCATGCAAGTGCAACCCGACCTAAACTATGTGAAAATCCAGGTTACTTTTATGAGACCAATTACAACAAATATTGGACTACGTATCCATAGCTCCCAAGATGTTCACATCCATCACGCTACTAAAGAAAGTGTTGACCAATAACTGTTACTTTGTGCGACTCTTTTCTGAAATTTTGAAATTTCCGGTTTGTAGACTCGGGAGAGAGAGAGTGTTGACCAATAATTGTTACTTTGCGTGATTCTTTTCTGAAATTTCCGGGAATTTTTATAAGAGTAAGTAATAAAAAAGTTTAATGTGATTCAAATTTATGTGAAAAATAGACTACGCTGGAGCTTTTTAAAATCTTAAGGACGTTTAGTTGGAGGATTTAAATTATGTGATTCGAATCATTTTTGATTTACGTGTATTTTTTGTGAGAGAAAATACTGCAGCAAACCACGAATCATGATTCGAATCAGGGAACGAATCTATCTACCAAACATCCATGGTTGACTCATTTCATACTAAGAGTGTTAATAACCTAAATTTTTATAAGAGCAAATATCGTAATATAAAAAATTGAACTGTGGTTCAAATTTATGAAAAGAACGGGTCACGCCAGAAGGCTTGAGCTTTTTTAAATCTTAATGGTCGACTCATTTCATACTGAGAGTGTTAATAACCTAAATAATGATTATAGTAATGCAACAATGCCAAACTCAAACAAGTATAAGTTTACTTAAAGAGTCTTACAAGATTGAATTATTGTTGATGACTTTTAAGCATCTATACTTTAAAGAAACAGATCAATACGCCACCCCCCTGTGGAATGAGAGAGGCAGTTCTGCTTCTGTCAACTAGTTGCCATTTTCAACACTCACTCCATTCAAAGCATTCTGCAACATTTATGTCCCATAACCCAAAAAAAAAAAACACAAAAGAGTTAGTGCAAAGTGAAACAGTGAGCATTAGGAGATAATCAAGTGTGACATGTTGATCACCTGAAAGCAAGATAAGGTGAACTTCACATCATCGTATGAAATTTGGTGGTGCAGAACAATTCTTATTCTGAAAATACCAAAAGTAGCAGCATCAGCTTGAGTTCTATTGCTACTCAACTCGTCAAATTTCAACATTAATTAAGCTAGAAAAAACATGTGTGTGTGTATGATATGTACGTGTGTTTAATATAACTGATAACAGACCTTGATGAGCTCTCTTTCATCACTACTATACCATGTTCTTCCAAGTTCTTGCACAGCTTTTCTGCAGTCATTTTGGAGCCTTCTTCTATGTCTATGAATATCTGGTCATATATGCATAATAAAAAAAGGTAATAAACATTCGAACTATACAATAATTCAACAAATTATGCAATTCTTGGGATGATAAAATCGAAACCGGAAAATCGAAACACATACACACACACATATACATGCCCGTATTTGAAACTTGGTAACCAAGGTACTCACAATGTTGGTCTCCACTGAGGCAACATCTACAAACAGTCCTTTGATTTTATGCAGTCCATCTGAACTCACCGGCAAATTCAAAAGTACAACTTGGTAAAGTGAGAACAACAAAGATGTGAAGAAAAGCTCAAAGATAAAGGTAAGGACTGATTACTAAGGCAGGGGGGATACCTGCTAAGAACTTGGCGTTCTTGTGATCAGCTTCGAGTTTCCCGACATTCTCTTGCACAGCAACAAAAGCTGCAGCACAAAGGACACCGACCTGTCTCATCCCACCACCTAGAGTTTTCCTGAGCCTTCTAGCCTAAGAAGCAAGCATCCAATAACAACCAAAGTATTTAGAGAAAGGGAAGAAGATTAAGCTTCTCTTTAGTCCTACTTCTATGCAAAAGCTTTTCTGTTTTACCTTCTTGATAAAGCTTTCCGAACCAACGATAACAGTTCCAACCGGAGCTCCCAGTCCTTTTGACAGACATACCTGGGTTCACAAATTTGTAAAGACAGAGTTAGTACTGCAACACTATATATCGATACACGAATCACAAAGTGAAACAAGGAACTAAAACAAGTTTCATCAGGGAATATGTAAAGACGATGCATATCCAAATAAATGAAGATAGAAAGAAGGCATTTTGGCAATCATACCGAAACTGAATCTGCTGCTTGCACAAGCCTACTAACAGGGACACCAAGCGCCTGTAAAACTAGTCCTTTTGAATTAGAGACTGAAATGATGAAATTCTTTCACAGCATTTCATATTTAGATGAAAAGAAAATGCAAGAAAACTACTCTAGAAATAACAAGAAACGGTATTAGAAATGGCAATGAACCACAAGATCTCCAACTCCATAAATACTTGCCCAGACAGAGATGTTGTATTATTATAGATATCATGGATAAAAACAATGTTTGGATCTGTGATATTAAAAAAAAATGTGCCATTTAAATCTAGAGATACTATAAATAAATACTCGAAGGTAATGGTGCATTGATTCATTAATCCTTGTCTTCAAAATTCACACCACAAGTTTCAGTTCACATCATTCATACTCACTATGAACATTCAGTTTCTTTGGATTACTAACTCAAACAATAACACAATTAGCATGTTGGGAAATATTTTCTGGATTTTTAAAGGGCTAATAAGAGACAACTCAAGGCCTAAGTTCATCATGTCCTCAGTCATGACCTCAATACAGGTTGTTGAGTGTACCAAAAGAGAAGTATAATTTGAACATTTTCATAATTAAAGAATCAAAGAAATTTTACTCACAACTGCTGCATTGAAAATGCGGGCCCCATCAATGTGAAGCTTCAAACCATGCTTTTTAGCTATCTCTCCCACTTTATCTGTATATTCTACAGACAAAACCCTACCACCAGTGCTGCATTTGTAAATGACACCACTCAGATTCTCTTGAGAAACTAAAGACATCAAAGAGTAATGGATCCATGGCAAAAGAATGAGAATGTATAAGTTGGCTTATATTGGTTCCCGGTTCCTGAAGATTCCGAAATAAAGAATTTGCAACAATGACAATTCACCATCTAAGCACAGAAATTGCTAAATACCTATAGAACTGTCTTTTAATTGGATGTAGAACAAATCCTTGTAAATATATTTGACTCGGGAAGATTGAAGGTTTTAACGTATATACAGACCGAAAATCTCCAATTGTGGTTTAGTTCTTATTAGACCACAAAAGAACACCAACAATTTAATTTTTTTTTTTAAAAAATCATGCAAAGTCCTTGAAGGTTATTCAGTGAAGGTAGCAGCCAGTATCAACCCCACATGCAAGCGAAAGGCAGTGATAGCAAAGTTATTACCAACATGGCATTATATCAATTGTCAAAAGAAAAAAAAAAAAAAAAAAAAAAAAAAAAAAGGGAAAAAAAAAAAAAAAAAAAGGGGTAAAAAAAAAAAAAAAAAAAAAAAAAAAAAAAAAAAAAAGGGTTAACAATAAAATACAAAACGAGCTCCATTTTCTCCAGTTCCAACAAAACAAGCAAAATATATAATAACCAAACCTTGGGAATTCCACCAATCGGCATATAGTGTAGAATATAATGTAATTAACAAAGTGATTAGCATCTCATATCCCAACAGAATCCAAAAGCCTTTGTGTTGATTAATATAAACAAAATACTTACTTTCCATGCGTATTTTCCAAGCAGATTAGCCTTGTAGTGGGGTACACAAGCTCTCCTTTGGGATCTCTAATGGCTGATACAATTGAATCAATATCCATAGTCCCATCAGGATTGTTCTTCACAGGTCTGGGATGTACACCTCCAATGGTTGCAATCCCTCCATTCTCATAAATGTGAATGTGGGAATTGTCTCCAAGAATTACTTCACTTCCCCTAATGTCACAATGAACAAGCACACTAATGAGGTTGCCCATTGTGCCTGAGGGAACAAAGAGTGCTGCTTCTTTGCCCGCGATCGCCGCCATTTCTTTCTCTAAGCGAAACGCGGTCGGGTCGTTGCCTAAGACATCGTCGTCCACTTCAGCAGCAGCCATGGCAGCTCTCATTGTTTCTGTTGGTTTGGTCACTGTGTCTGACCGGAGATCCACTCTTCTTGTCACCATTTTCACTGAGAAAGAAAATTTCCCAATTAGGCAAAGCTGTAAAATATTTGATATGGTGTATTTCCTAAAGGTGATACTTATATTAAACGTGTAATAGTGATATATCTCTTGGTGCTTACACAAGTGTTTCTCTGCAACCATTTTTGGGTGTAATCCACCGAAACCAAGATGTTGAATTTGTTGTTCAAAGAAATAGAATTGTAGAGCAAAAAGGAATATAATCAGAGTTCTTTGTGAGAAGGGAAAAATAAGAACAAATTCACGGGGAAATTGTGACGGTCAAAAACAAAACCTTTTAAGGAGTAAGGACTTGGTAATTAGTAACTGTTTCCTTGCCTGAGTACACTTCATACGTGTCAACTTGTCTTGAACTATTCTCAAGGAAAATTGACTCAAAGCTTATATAAAATCGACATGGAAAATGAGAGAGAGAGAGAGGTAGGTATTATTACCAGGAAATCTCCTCTGCTTTGCAGCCGAACAGAATTTTCAAAAAATCAAAATTCGGAACCTTTTAACAGCAGTAATTGCCTGGTTACTCGCTGCATAAAAGTTGGAAAAAAAAAATGAAGAAACCTTCAGCACAAACATGCAAATTAAAATTCGCTAGAATTATATACAAATCCCAGAAAAGTACTTAACAAAATTCAAAAGAAACTATCAACAAAAAGAGAAGAACTTCAATAATAGACTAGCATGAAAAACTATACTGCAGCTTAACCACCAAAAACAACTTAAAAATCTTATAATTGTATATTAATATAACAACTTATAAACACTTTCCACATCAAAATCCCAATAATTATTGCCCAAGAGAAATTGAAAAAACGAAAAAACCTAAAAAAATAAAACCACACCTTTACGTCAAGTATCCTACTTTAGCTCTCGAGTGACAAAAAGGAGGCTCCAAAAATGCCTGGAAACAAGAACCCACAAGTTATTATTGATCAAGAAAATTCCAAACAAACAAAAAAAGCCAACCAAAAGCCACCAAGAAGGTAAAATAAAACATAAATCATACTCTTTTTTTTTTTTTTTGCAAATTATGTGTAAAGAGCCTATGTTGGCCACTTTGTAGTTCATGCAGTGGTCAACAAAAAGGGCAGGGAATCACAGGAAAAAGCCAAAAATTTAATGAAGCAGTAATGAAGTGGTATCATTCAACATAATACGACAACTTATTAAACTTTTGTGCATGCAAATTGCAATTAATCTTTGCCCACTCACCAGCACACCAGTCTCTCAGTCTTCTCAACCGCTCATTTTTTGTCTTCTTTTTCCCCCCTCTTTTTATATAATTTTGTATTGACAAATCATTTTAATGAGCAGTCAATGCACCTAATGTCTGTATTATGTGTGTCTTTTTTGTTTAGACAGATATTAGAGTATGAATATTCTGGTGATTCTACTTTTTATCATTTTGTACAATCAGCCCTTTTTTTTGTTTTTTTTGCTCTTTTTCTTTTCAAGGGATCCAAGGTGGTCCAGATTAAAGTTTTTGTTTCTCTTCAACGCAAAGATGACTTTTCCTTTTCTGAAATTGATGGCGGCTTTCACATATTCATGTCCTAAGAAAATTACGTTTTGGGTTCCCATTTGTTTCGGACATACTAAAAGCTGAAGTTGCGTGGTTGTAGGGAAGCCTTTAAATCATCATCACTCTAGAATGCTCCTACAACCAAACATATATGCATACGTAACATATTTATATGTGCACATACATATTTCACAGAAAACAAAATATTAAAACATGAACATATATACATACATAACATATATATATATATATATATATATGTCATATGTGCGTGTGTGTGTATACATACATACATATTTCACAGAAAACAACATATCGATCATTTGGAGTGACAAAGTGAAAGCCATACCTGTGGGGTGATGTTGCTGATGAGTTAAAATCAGAAGGGTCTACAAACGACAGAAGAATTAAGAGAGGGAAGAGTTAGAGGATGAGTAGAGGAAGGGGGTTCTTATGGGAGGCTCAAATACAGATAAATAGTGGGCATGAATGACGCATGAACTTATCCAGCAACAAGAAAAAAGTTCATTTCATTTGTGCCGTGTGCTTAGTTGGAATTGTGATCTGCTGGGAAACTTATTAATATTTTCAACTTTTGTGCTTTTTGTGGGACGTCGATATCCTTTTAACCTTTTAGCTTTTGACACGTAAGAGACACGACACGATTACAGAAAGTGGTCACTGGAACCTGTCTATATGGATTGAAAATTTGCTCGGGGCACCAGCATACTAAGCAGAAAAAAAGGAAAAAAAGGAAAAAAAGGAGATTTTTTTTTTTTTTTCTTTCCAACGGTGAATCTGATATTGTAAAAATTCAGTCTGTCTAAGATCTCTCTTGCTCTAGTAATATTGTAGGATTTAGATAGGAGATTACAGATTTAATCTCGTATTATATAAAAAAAAAATCATATTTAATTAATCTGTGATGATTAACACCATTAGTAGCTTACAACATTTTCCTTATAAGCTAAAGCTATCTCATTTGCAAACGTATTTTTTCTTTTTATTTGGAAAAGGAGAAGCCATCATAGGGTACCCAAAAAAAAATTTATGGTAAAATTGAAGCATATTATGTTAAAAATAAATATTATAATTCATTAAATGAATGAGAATTTAATGGAATGTCACATTCTAGAATTATATTAAAAATTCTTTTTTTTTTGTCTTACAGAATTTCTCCGGTGTTCTCAAGAGTGTTTCATACTTTTTTATTATTAGATCTAATTAAAATCACACTAAATTAAAAAAATATACAGAACATACAGATTTTGACACAAATCTAAAGGCTGAAAAACAAAAAAATACCGATATTTTCAAAAAGGGAGGAATACCAGAAAAAGTCTCTTTTGTTATGAATAGTAACTGTCAACCTCATTCAGAATTACTATACAAGTCAGCCAAAATTACTGTTCATGTCACAATCTTACTGTGTACATAATAACCTTAAATAATAAGTACTATATAAATAGTAACTAAAAATAGTAAATTGTATGTAAATAATAATTGTGAATAGTGCTAAAAAATTTTATAAATAGAACTCTAAAACTCTATTTTATATACCTTCACAAGATTGACGAAACTCTCTCTTTAATTTCTCTTTTCTTAGTTTTCTTAACACCCCTTTCTTATTCTACTCAAGTTTCTTCTTTTTTGTTCAAGATCCACAAAACAAAAAACTGATGACCATAAAAGTTTTCCCCACGTAACAAAATATGCAGGAAACAAAGACACATCACGTCAATTATGAAAATCTAATACAAGTTGCGACCATATTCGTACAAATTTGACGATCGAGAAAAACGTTTATCGGAGATAAATTAATGAGAAGCACAAACGAAATTGAATATCGGTTTGAATATTTGACCAAAGAAACAACCAAGAATTGGCGTATTGTGGTAGAAAATGAGGGAGTAGAAAAGGCGATTAATTATATTATATAAAATCCTCAAGAAAGAGATGTAATAGGATTTCCTCAATCTAATAACAATTTTCACCGGACAGATGACCAGATAAAGATGAAAGTTTTTATCTTGGGTGGTTCTCAGTATCAGAACAGAACTAAACATCATATAGCATTTTCACGTCCCTTTCAACCAAAAGCATGGATTTCAAAATTTTTTAGAACACCAACAGTCCTGAACATCGACACTATTCATCAGCTGTCGACCAGTTAACGTTCAGAACTGTTGAAACTTTCAGTACAATAATCTTCAAGCAAACAGCGGCCCGTCGCTTGCTTTCTTTCCTGTCCGAATCAGACACTGATCCATCACTTGATTTCGCATCGACATTCAACAAATGAGGATTCCCATTGATTACCTCTTCAAGAGAATTTATATCTCCACTGCGCCGCCAGAAACCTCCCTAGCATCTCCATCAACAGCTGTTTCTTGCATAGTGCTTTCCTTCTCGCTAAAATTTGGCTGATTCTTAACATGGTGATCCTCCTTGGCTAAGTCATTGGTGGTTGTGTTGTCATTAGCCAACCCATTGACGGAGTCTTGAGCAATGTTGTTTTCCCCTGCATCCGTCTGTAATGGAGGATCCTCTCCTGCGACATCTGGCTTGGGGAGTTGATCATCGGGGACTTTAAAACCATTGCCCTCATGTTCTTGCGCGGAATCCATCTGCTGATAAGCAGTTTCATTATGAGATTGATCAATGGGCATAGAACTTCCAAGCTCATCTGAGGCGGTAGTTATCTCCGGGTTCTCTGTGCTCTGTAGAGCAGGTTGATTTGCGGAAGATTCCAACAGCTCAGGCTCATGCTTGTTTGCTGCAATTTCTTCTTGCCTTTGTGCTTGCTCTCTGTAGTTATCCATTAGGCGGCGTGTCGTTTCCAGCTTTGTCAAGAGATCTCCGTACCGCTTTTGTAAAATTCGCTCAAGCTCCTTTTGCTTCTGAACTTCCTCCCAGATGTTATTTATCCGATGCGATGCTGCCAATTGCTCTTGCTTTTGTAATGCTTGGAAACACTCAAGTTCCTTTGCAGCAGTGTCCATCTGCTTGAAGGTCTCCTCGATTTGTGGCCAAAGACTCTTCTTAGCGCGCAGCTACACAATCAAAATGAAACACAAGATTAGAATCGATGCCTTTTCCCCCTTGTGTTTTTGTAAACAGCTGTACTGGGGATCTATAACATTGCGCTGGATAAAGACGATTTAAAGAGTGAACCTCATTTAATTAGCAAAACCGGAAAAACGTGTATTAACCTTTTTTTTTTTGGCTAAACTGGAAAAACTTATATTAACTGGCAACCCTAATCTGTTAAGCCGGACTCCGAAAACAGACCAGCAAACTTGGGGGGACTGCATTTAAAACACACTAGGATAACAGTTCAAGACTCGTCCATGATTCCATAGTAGTTGGTTTTTCTTTCTTTCTTCCTTTTTTTTTTTCCAAACTAATCCAAGCTCAAAACTTAAATGTTGGTCTTATGCAGAAGTGGATATTGCTCATGGATGTCCTTCAAACCCTAAGCTACTACGGCATCAATTGCAAATGATGCCAGAAATAAGATCCAGAAGCAGTTCTAGAGATCAACATACCTCGTAACCATCTGTGAGAATTTTAGCCTTCTTTTCAAGGTTTGCTGCCTTCTTAATATCATCTTCCACATTCTTTCTCGCATGCTCAAACTCATTCTGCAAGGCAGCAAGTTTCTCCATGTTTCCAGCAACGCTTGATAACCCATACGCATTACGAGTAGGAAAGTACATGAGATCATTCAGACACGTTTTGTGTGCTTCAACAAACTCATCAAGGTCTTCATTTTCATGTCCCATTGCTACACGAAGATACTGAGCCTCTTCTTTTATCAAATTATCAGCCTGATACGAAAAATAAATTATCATCAAAACCAGTAGCTGACTATCGCAATGGAACTTTTAAGATAAAGCCAAAATTAATTCTTCATGCTTAAAAAAAAAAAAGGAAAGAGCAGCAGAACATGACTAGAGAAGCCGCAACAAAGCACAAGAACATAAACATACCTCTTTGATCTCATCTTCTTCAAAATCTTCAATATCAGGGATAGGAGCAGCAGATCCATTTGCAGAGCGTTTAGCACTTTTCTTTTTCTCCTTACTCACCTTTTCATTGAGTGGATACTTAGCATTATCATGCTCTAGCAAGGAAAGAAGCTCCTTTCTTATCATTTCATCAGCCTGTTCGATTAATGTAGGTGGCACAAAGGAACTCTTGTCTCCATCAGCTCTCATCAAGGAATTTTTAATCAACTCCAAAGAAGCAACAGGAGGTCTAGGAAGCTCTCTCTGGAGTACTTTTGATCTTTTCCTGAGTAATGCTTGTTGCCGTGCTTCCTCATCAGCCTTTTCTCTAGCTATTCTGTCAGACATATCTTCTTCAATATTTTCTTCTGGTTCTTCATTATCTTCTGGAACAGGCTGCATGACTATCTGATACTCATTCTTTGGTTGGGGTAGAGTGCTCAAATTTGAACGTAAGTTCCTTCTCAAGTCAGCTTGTCTTCGTTGCTCAAGTCTTGCACTGTCATGAATCTCAATATCCTCATTGATACGAAGCTCGTCTCTGATTGGAGTACCCTTGGGGGTCAGACCAAAAGAATAGCCGTCCCGTGATGGGGTCATGCCAATTCTAGGGGTAAGACCTGCTGCTCCAGGTGTCGCAGATGGAGTCAGCATTGGATTTGGTGTTTGCATCTCCCTTTTCTTAGGGGTGACCCCAGAAAAATCTGAAGGATGCAACTCTGGATTTTCTCCACCTAATAAGGGTGTTTGAGACTCCCTCAACCTGGCCAGGTTTTCTGCTTCCATCATGATGGCGTCACCCTTACCAGAAGGTGTTCTTTGTGGAGTTCGTAAAGGGGTCATTCCTTGGTGGGGTGTCTGAGCATAATTTGCAAGAAGAGCACGTGTCGCGCCACTCCCAACTGTGAGTTCCTCACTACCAGCAAGATCACTAGCATAACCAATCTTTGCAATTTCTTCCAATTCCTGGTCTGAAATTTGGGGAGCAGGAAGCATCAACTTTGATCTCTTCCTAACTGTCTCGGGATCATTCAATTTGTTAGCTTGCAATATCGCTGATGGAGCATCCTGCCTTTGTGCAATTTTATTCTTTGCAATATCTTGTTTTCTCAATTGTGCCTCCATGTCAACCCTTCTCTTGCCTTCAAGTTCCTCAATGGTGGTTGGGAACAGTGGCTGTTCAACAACTCTGTCTTCATCAGTAACATCAAAAAAGCCTGGAGGAGGCTTCTTTTCGAAAGGAATTTCTGCATTATAGTCGATTCCCTTTCTTTTCCTCTTCCGCTGCCTAGTGTCAATCCCAGCAGCTTTTAGTTCTCTCCTTTTCTGTAAAGAAGCAAGCCTCCTTGCTTCTTCAAGCTGTTTCTCTCGGGCCTTCCTTTTTGCCTTCTTACCCCTTGTGTTAGCTAACCGAGCTCGTGCCTCTGAAAGCATTTCCTTCTCGTCCTCATCCATATCAACAGGATCTGGCCGTGCAGGCTTTGATTCAGGGTTTGGGTCAATCTCTCCAGGCTTCAATTTCCGTGGGTCGTCACCCGGTTCATAGTTCTCATCCTTAACACAAGCTGCATCAAGAAGCTTCTCATACCGCTCAAGGCACTGCGACGGAGTACGGCCAACAATTGGGGCAATCGTTCTCCACTGAGTTGGCATGAGCTTTGCAAGATGAAGCAGTTTCTCATCTTCTTCCCTGGTCCACTCAGTCTACAGATAGATTCAAAGGTATAAAATCATCAGTCCACATATACCCAAATAAAGAAAGTCGTGAAGTGATTTTCTATAGCATAGAAAGAGACAGAAAATTAGGATGACAATGGCACATTGAATGGAAATATAGAAAGTAATTACTTCTCGAAAAATGCTCAGAACAACAAAATAATAAGTACTTCATTGGGTTTCAATTTTCATAAGAGACTATATAAGAAAGAATCTATCTTGTCCTCTAACATTTGTATTCATCTCAAATTCTCTAAACATATAGAAAAATAACTTTTCAACTTGTCGAGTACAAATGACTATAAACAAAAAAAGAACCCAGAAAAAGAACATAAAACTCCACAATTGACTCATCTCGAGTCTCTGCCCTACAATTATGTATTGACAAGATACAAACCTATACAACCGTTTGAAACAAATCTAAATTCCACAAAACATACGGAAAAAAAAAACAAAAAAAAAACAAAAGAACATGAAAAGGACAAAAGCATTGGCCCCAATACATGCTGGTAGCTAAATTTAATAGGGTAAAAGACACAAGAAAAATAAGCATAAACAAAATTCAACTTTCAAGCATTAATTTTTTATTTCCGAGTAAGCAAGCTAAATTATTGAGTAAAGAAAGAGGAGATTGGGGAAATACCTTCTTGATGGAAGGGTCGAGCCACTCGTACCAGCGAGCCTTACACTGCTTGGCGGATTTGCGAACGAGAAGAGAAGAGATTCGAGCCCACTGGTTTTTGCCATACTTCATAACCGCCGCCTTGAGGATCTCATCCTCCGTGTTCTTCCACACACCACCTTTTATCATAATCCTCATCTTCGCTTCTCTTTCTGATTCGCCTGCTAATTATCCAGATATTTGAAGAGAAGAAGAAGAGGAAGAAGAAGAAGACGAAGAAAAGGACAACTTTCTATGTGCAGAGAGAAAACCCTAGCTCTCCGATAGATAGAGTTACGAGCTTGAGGACGATCAGTTAAACCCTAGCTCTCTCTCTCCTCCTCTGTTGTCGCTCGCTTTCTCTCTCTACACACACAGCTTCTACTTTCACTGCGTCTAGATTTGGATTTTTTGGGTTTTTCACTTCTCCTATCCCCCTCCTCTATCGGCTTTATGATTGAATAATAATAATTTATTACTATATAATAATTTTTTTTAGAACGACACGTCGTAATACCCTTTAACGGAAGGGAAATTTCACGCACAAACGACAACAAAATTTTATGAAAAAACCGAGAAATTAGTAAAGTCACGGTTTTAGTTCTGTTATTGGCTTAAAATTTAGTATATGACATATTTACTTAAAAGATTGAGAAATGGGTGCGGAGAATGGGGGTGAGATTGATAGGCCTCATTAAAATTTAAGATGAGTGAAATTAGCACTCTCATTCACTTTTAAAATTAAGATTCTCATTTCTAATATTAACATTAAATTATTATTATATCTTTATTTTACTTATAAATATAAAATTTAAAAAATAATAATTACAACGTATGTTCATTAATTTGTCTATTATTATAATATTAATCTAATTATTGATAACTTTAATATAATAAATATGTACGTTATTTTATTTAATAAATTAATAATACATTTTAATTTTTTAACACTATTTTATATTTTGAATAATTGTATAATTTATATTTATTATTATATTACCCTTTTAATTTTTTTTAACAAATTGATATACGGAGGGAGAAGGTGATGATTGAAATTTTATTATGTTTATAAAAATTATATATTTTTATATTCCTTCATGTACGAGCATTTTTCTCCATCTTCTTAGCAAAAAGATTAGATGGGATGGATACGACAATTGGCAACGTCTGAAAAACGACATCTCGTTTATAATTAAACGACAATGAACTTCAAGCTACAAACGACGTAATTTTTCAGTCGTTTAAATAATTGAATTAAAAACATAAATGACATGAGGATATCAAATAGAACGTCATGTCGTTTACTGAAGCAAGAAAGCAAATTTGTACCGGAAGAAACGGCACGTCGTTTCGTACACTTGAATGAAACGCTCAACTTCAAACAATGCCATTCAACGGGCGTGTCGTTTCTTCCACTTTGAATGATACTTTATACCCAAATGACAAATATCTATCCCCTTCAACAACAAAATTCTAAACGACAAAACGACAACCTATAGGTTTGTCGTTTCCTTTCCAGGAAAATGACATCAAACGTTGTAAGATACAATTCTTATATCAAACTTTGGCCCTTTTCCCTTCTACCGACGCATATACATATCTTCCCTACGGTGCTGAAGTGTGTAAATGCATGTTTAAATTAAAATGTATACCATGCATTTTGCATGTTCTCAACACTGTACCTTTGAATTTTAATTCTTATCAACCAGACACATAAATTCAAAGGTAAAATTGTTATTCAAATAGTCAAGTTTAGCAGTTAATCAAGTAAATCTATAAATTTGATATAAAATTTAAATCAGGGTACAATGTTAAGAATATCCAAAGTGCACGGTATATATTTTTAATAAACTTAAATTGCAGGATTAAAAAATAGTAAATAACCCAAGAGAAAGAACTTATAAAAAAAAAAATACCATACAAAAGTCAAGGCAGAATCATAAGACTGGATCTCCTTTTCAAAGAAAAAATTTAACTCATCCACAATGGCCAAAGACAGAATCTACGACATGATATCCTTTATCTCAGCACCAAGCAACTCTGAGACTAATTAACTAAACACATCAACCAATACGGATAAAACGGTATTTACAAATACTTTTTACATCACAAAAACAAGTAACATATCAATTGACAAAATTTCGCAGCCAAAATTAACGGAGAATGAATTCAGTACACTCATTATAACAATTAGCCTTGGATTCATCAGTTTCTTGAACGGATTCATCATCTATAATATGAGGCCAAAATGTACAACATGATGGAAGCTGATACAGTGATCAACAGTTCCTGCATAACCACAAAATGCTCATAAGGTTAAAGGATACTCAAACAAGAGACCGGCGGGGGGGTGCGAAATCGTTGAGTCCGTCATTTAAAAGGACGTCTGATACTTGAATGCTCAATGACGGTTGCCTTTTATGCACAAATGAACAGCTTCAGGAGCAGTATGAAATTTTTGTATAATTAGAAATTTCAATACCTCAGAGATTTTGCATTTGGAATGAGATGATGCCAAGCTTAATGGTTTTTACAAAATGGAAGCAAAACCACAGATTAATAGACTAGCTTCTGCAAATTGTAATCTAATACTTTAAAAAACCATTTTCATGAGGAACGTCATCATCCATGTCTTTGTAACAGACTAGAAGGAGAAACGCAAAAAGCAACTGCTGTAACTTAATACCATGTTTTTAACAACACAATTTATAATAGGAAGTGAAAGTTAATGCCAGCCAAGATGTAAACGCAGATACCTGGTTATTGTAAAGAAAAGCAGGTATAAAGCCACCCATCAACTCAATCAAATTCAAAATACCAGTGTATGCCTGCGAAAAAACACAACAATAATACAGAATTTACTACATACATAAGACCAAGAAAATATATCAAAAAAAAAATATGGATTCGACATTATATGGACATTATCATGTTCTAAAAGACAGGTATATTTCCACAAGAGGCTCTTATGCACAATCTATGAAGATGCCAAGCGAATATGAGTTAAGATGAGGGAGAAGATGGCCTCAGACATTCTGTTAGACAGCGTAATGCAGATAAAACAGATCTACCATGCAAGTTAATATTGTCAGCTTACAGTTTTTTGCGTTTGTAATAGGTTATATTATCAGGTAATTAACTTACTAAACAATTAGAAGACTTTATCAACCTATGAAAAACAGGCACCAAGTTGAAAAAGATATCATACCAGAGAAGCAGCAGCAATACAGCCAAAAACAAGAGAGAGAGCACGAAGCAGCCGTTTCCCCATTCTCAGACCCCTACCTGAATCCTCGCCATCTTCCTGCAGCAAATATAAACTTGCATATCACCTAACCGATAACTCAATAAATGAACGTTAGTAGAAATTCCTATGTCTGAAACAACAGAATATGGGCGAGCAGGGTTATCTTGTTTTTGAAATTCTACTCACAGTATATGTTGGTGTTACAGGAGGTTCAAAAGATTTCAGCTTCTCAAATAACCGATACACAAATGCAAAAGATAGAAACTGCAAAGGTTTATAATCAGCATTCTGCTTGAAAAGAATCCAGACAGTCTGCAAAAAGATGAGTAAAATATGAGGACACAAAAAGAGATCAAAGAAAAAGAACCATAAGTTATACGAGAACAAGGAGAGTTAATCTTCATGCTGCACCGTGAGTGTAGGAGACAGTCATTAATAATCAAAAAATATACAAAAGGTAAAAGGTTTGACGACTAGTTATTTAGAATAACCAATAATATATTGATATTAGTTTAACCAATACAATCACAGTTTTTAGTGACCATTATCTACCAAAAAATATCAAACAAAAAATGGATGAAGGGAATAATCTCAGTTATTTACAACTTACAAAAGCGGCAGCTATTGCCAGGTTGATGCGCATATCTTGTACAGAAGATTTGGTGAATCTGGAAAGAAGAAATCAAAATTTGATCATAAGAGCGGATGGTAACATCACAACATTGTCTAACCATACGTATTCACTTGCTCTTCAATTACATGGAAGCCATGCCCTCCAACTCATAAAAACCCAACTAAGAGCTCTACAGACTACAAGAGTGTATTCTAAGATTAATAAAACAGAAAACTCTTAAAAAAGACAACTCTTATTGTAGCACTCTTTGCCCTTTGGCGGCCAAACTCACTGTCAGTCACAACAGGAAATTACGAACCTTGGCCCCCACGGTACAATCGGCTGCTTATCCGCGTACTTAACGTCCTTCGAGACCTACATTTTGCAAACACTCAATAAGAAAAGGCCTTACAGGGCAAAACAGAATACAAAAACTCAATCAATCCATGTCAACTGCAAAAGGAGGTAACTGTAAAATTCAGAATTACTGTACCTTGAATGAACCAAAGGTCACGCCTTTCTTCCGATTTTGCAATTGGGCCATCATGATCTTGTCATATGCCTTTTCTAGCTACATAAATAAATAAATAAGTCAATAATCAAAATATATCATATCTTTTCAGCTATATCCTTTACAACCAAATGTTATCTTTGTAGTAAGTAAAAGAACAATCTAGCAAGCCAACTCACTCTGGCAGCAGTAGCTTCATCACCTGCCCTTTCGGCCTCCTTGCGCTTTCTCGCGTATTTCACCTTTATAGAGTCAAACCCCTCAATTGGACTAACACCAAGAACCTGAATTTACGAGAAGATAAACGATTCCCATTCTGAAGTCGAATTTCAGCAAACAAAAAATGGAGAAAGGTGCATATACACTACATATAATAACCGAAAACCTACCTCGTATGGATTCGAGTCACTGCCTGGACTGGAACTTCCAGCTGCAGAAGCGGCAGCACAAATTACTCTGCCATTCCCCCGCAATGTCCTCGGAAATCTGGTGATTTTTAACAGTGATATTGAATTCATATACTTTGAAAAATCACAATCAATTACACAACAAATAAGGTTGGATAAATTTCCTGTTTTGATAGATATCTGATTTATGAAAGGAGCGGAGAAAATTTTCCGAGAAAAGATGTAACTGAGGAAAGTGGGTGGGAAAGTGGAAAGAGAGGGATTTGGAGGGAGATTTCTTCGGCAAAAATGGAGCTTGGGATTGGGGCAGCGAAGAAGGGGATTTGCCAAAGCCATTTTTGCTTTGGTTTTGACTCTCAATTTCAGAAAGAAGGGTCGAATTTTTGGAAGTGAGGGTTTAATGGGGATTTAAGCTTCCAAGCGTTAATGTGATTTTTGCAACCGTGAAGTGAAATGAAATGAATTGAACTTCGCACTCGTCCCACGTGTGAGATAAGATAAAATGATAAATCGCAGTATTGAAAAAAGTAAATGTAAATCCTAATGTAAAAAGTAAGGACTTTGTTGTAAAAAATAATGGGCGAACACTTGTTCGCGTGGCCTAATGGATAAGGCGCTCGCCTCCGGAGCGGGAGATTGTGGGTTCGAGTCCCATCGTGAACGTTGATTTTTTTTTTTGGCTCTCTTTTAAGATTTTATTTTTTTTCGCCCTGCATTGCATATCAGTAGTTCTAGAAATTAATATGTGAATTTTACCATGTGGAAAAGATGTAATAAAAATAGCGATGATATATAAGATTGCTTCAATATTTAACTTTTGAGTAATGGTACCAGTCTTGTCTAAATGAAATGTTATTTAAATCTCACTAAGCTAGCATGAAAAAAGGTTGTCAATTTGCTCACCTATTACATGGAGTGTCTACTGAGGGCTTATCTCCTTCCAAATATATTGGAACCTCCTTCCAAGTATACTTACTCTTTTTTTCTTTCTTTGATTAGTACTTAATCTAATTTAGAGAGTGTCAAACTGAAAATTAAATGGCAAGGAAAGTCAAAAACTTAAATAAAATTTGTAGCTTGCCAACTTTTTCCATTGATGTATTCAACCGGAATTAAGCCAAGAATTTCAAACCGTATTACATGGAAAAATCTACACCAAGGAAAAAAAAAAAAAAACAAGAAGAAAATTTTGTATGCTGATCAAATCTCAAGCCACATCCAGAAAATATGATCTCAACTTGGCCGTGACGGCTCTCCTGATTTCACAAAGAGATTGTACCAAAAATCTATGTCTTCATTTATCTTCTTCCCACCAATATCGTTATCATTCTCCTTCATGGTATGAGCCAAATGAGACTGATCATCAGTAGGATACCTGGCCATTGCTGATAGACTTTTAATTGCCGATAACTTCCCATCAGTAAGACTCCTGGTTATAACATCAGATGCACTCCACGTGGCATGGTCCTTGGTTGGCTGCATTTCGGCCGTTGATGACGCTGCAGAATGTTGATCAGCATGTGATATTGCTAGAGACTGTATTACCGCTGGTGCCACAACCATTGCATGATGATCAGGACTAATATTTTGTGTCATTGTTTGGACGGTGGTACTGTTCATGGGAATATTGGCATATTTTGATAATAATAACCCATTAGAGTAGTGTTTGTAAATAGTATCACTATTCATGATTGGAGTAGTATTAGTGGCTGCTGAGCAGCTACTTCGTTGAAGCTTCTTCTTCAAGTGGGTGTGCCAAAAATTCTTTATCTCGTTGTCTGTTCTTCCCGGTAACTTCGCTGCTATAGCAGACCATCTATATTGGACAACAATATTATACCAATATTAAACAGTTATATTATTAACATTAATTTTTTCTTCGTAATACTCAGGAATTGTACTAATATGATCATGTTATTATGTTTTGGTACCTATTTCCGAGAAGTTGATGGAGTTTGGTGATGGTTTCTTCCTCGTCCTTGCTGAAGCTTCCTCGCTTGATATCCGGCCTCAAGTAGTTAATCCACCGAAGCCTACAGCTCTTTCCACACCTCAATAGGCCTAAACATGAACATTAACATCAAAAAATAATAATAATTTAATAGTAAAATCAAGGTGCGTTGTTGCTTCTGAAATGATATAAGAGAAACCAATGAACTAGCACAAAGCAAGAGACTTAACTTAAACACGTATGATAAACTAGCTAGTAGAATTATATATATCAAGAATATATATATATATATATATGTGTGTGTGTGTATATTTATATGTATATACATATACTTGGAGCTGCTTTGAGTTACCTGCTTGTTTAGGAAGAGCCCGCCAATTGCCATGGCCATATTGTTGGATGAAAGAAATCAATATGTGATCTTCTTCCGGAGTCCATGGTCCTTTCTTCAGTCCCATCTTCTCACAACAAGGTGTCCTCATTTTTGCCCTCAAAATGGCCTCTTTCTGATCTCTCTGTCTATTCTCTCTCTCTCTCTCTCTCTCTCTCTCTCTCTTTCTCTCTCTCTAAAAGTTATGACGGACTAAGTTGCTCGCTTATTCTATTCTAACCCATATGCCAGAGGCAAAGGGGCGTCCTTTCATTGCTCCAAGAAGATACGCCAGGTCGTGGTCCAATCCAACAACGCATGGTTTTTCAAAAGCGAAGAAAAACGATGTTTTTCAAAAGCACCCAAAAAAATAAAATAAAATAAAACTATATCTATATCTATGTGTGCGTGTATTTCTTTCTCTCTCTCTCAAACTAACTGTGGGAAAGAAATGCCCTCCCTAATTCATCACTAAAGCGGTTGTCCATTGGAGAATTCTTCAACCCTCATTTTTGTTTTATGCTTTGTGTATAAAAGCAAGTGACGACATCATTTTATCATGCATATATATATATGCTATACATGACATATATGTGCTAAACTACATACATACTTATATATATACATACATATCCATATATGTATATAGATATTATATATAATACACACATATATATCCAAACAACACTTATGGTGTGTCGAACGGTCAAAATTTACATGCGCCACCACTAGAAATGGCGTTGCCATGAATCCCAAGCAGTCTTTGCCACACACACATATATATATATATATATATATATCCTTTTTATGGGTTAATACACGTTGTACGAATTGCAATCATATTGTAGAGAAAAGAAAATGTTTTTTTGTGCGGAGAAAATAGAAAATAAAAGAAAAAAGTTATAGATTCACCGTATATTGTACTACTCTATACCAATTTTTGTCACGTTTTTATTTTTCCTTTTTGTGTCAGAACTATTTTCTTAAATTATAACCGTGTAAATGAAGTAGCATATATTGTGCTACACTTAATTTTGGATTATTAATGAAATAAGCACTTGGAGAAAAGCTTTGTTGATTATCTTTGTCGGCGCAACAGTGCGCTTACGTCAAGTTATCATGATAACCCATATCTTGACTTGGTTGTTTCGAGCAAGATCTTCATCAATTTCAATTATAACTTGCGAACAAAGCCAACAAAGAAGGGTCGCCTTTTCAAAGCCAAAAACTATGCAAAATCTTCTCCTTTCCGACACTGGATTTTGGCCACAAAAGTAAAAAAGAAGCTTAAATCATGAGTTTGATTTTTGTTGGACAAAATTCTCTTCTATTTTTAACTTTCCACCCTTACATCCACTTCTTTCCAAACTTGGAAAAGGTTTTGAGGAGACTATCTTAGTTGACAATTGTGACTTTGTGAGCACGGATTAGTACTTTTACCTCTCAAAAGTCTACTAAATTGCCATTATTTACCCGTTAGCCGGTCTTGCTCGTCTTGAAATTCATTTTCTTTTCCATCTATTGAATTCTCCTAAAACTTTGACGATTAAAGTATACCATTTGTTCCGCAATAATGTTTACTAGTCATCGGACATATTAACAGGAAAGCAAAAGATAAGTTTTAGCGCAATAAACTTAACAAGTTCGGTGTTTGGATTATGTGATTTAGTTTGAATTGTGATGATTTAAATTGTGATTTGAACCGGCGTTAAGATAAATAAATAAATTATAATTTAAAGTGAAAATAAAATCCGAACTGTGTTTAGATAGTGTTAAAAACTGTTATTAGAATTTTATAAGATTTGAACTATTATCAATAGTTTGAATTGTCCTTATTTAGTTCTCTACCAAACATCAATTTAAATCCTAAACTATGATTTGATTTGAATTGAATTGTTGAGTTTGAGTTAGTGAAACAAACAGTAACTTTATCATTCATAATACAAAGAACCTGATAATGCCTCAGCTTCAAAAATTATATTGGACACTACAAAATATGCGTGGTCAATTTAAGTCCACTAAACAAAAGCCTCGACCTTTTCTCAAGATCAAACCTTCAGCGAAATTCCCAAAATTCTTTGTTGAACAAGTTTATATAAATATTGGTGGACAAAAGAATTCCTACATATTACATATCATGATAACATATTAGACATATTATCCAGAAAAGGCCCCACTAAGCAGCCAAAGGAGGAATTGGATTTCATACAACAAATACCAGCAGACTTAATTTCCATTTTGTGCCCCTGATATTTATATATGCATATATTATTATTTTACTTTCAACAAACTCTACGCCTTTAAAAAGGAAAAAGGAAAAAGAAAAAATAATCATCAGTTCTTGGCCCTCTCAGTGTTGTTCGCCTTGATCCTTGCTCGGGTGTCAAGCTTAACCAAACGTTTGAGATCTTGATAAAAGAGAGTTTCCTTATTCTTCCTACGCAATTCACTCAAAGCAGGGCGTTTATCAAGCAGATGGAAGAGCCAATCGGGGTACTCAGAATCTGCCAAGATCTTCAGATCGGCTCCATCTTTGAGAATATTTGCACCAACCACAGTTGTTGACTTCACTTCTTTGCTGAGTGATGATGCTTTTGGTCCATCACCTGCAGCGCCTTTCGAGCCCTTTTTTGCTTTACCACCTGCGGCGGCAAATGTTCGCCGCAACACCAACCCAACTGCATCCCTACAAAGTATCTGGCTCTTTAACGACCTGACATGACTCATTGCCATAACTCTGTTCCTGCAAGATTGGAGGATCTTATCAACAGGTCTTACCAACAAAAAGACACTCAAGGGCGACTAATTGCTTGTTAAGTAACATTTTTCGTCTTCTGTTTTTGCAAATGAAAAAGCGAAATAAAGAGTGAGGGCATATTAACTAAACTAAAGGGAATCTCTGCAGATCGTTTTACTTTCGAAAACAAAAAAACACAACATGATATCAAATAGGGCCTTTACGTTTGTTCTTCTCATTTTGAGTTCAGGAGAAATAAAAAAATAACCTCAACCTAAAATAATAGAAATGTAGAAGCACAGAACACCCACATGAAACATTGTACTTGTAAAACCACTGCATAATGATAATGCTCACTCTCCAGAAATCTAAGCAACAAATTTAATTTCCATTTTCGTCTAGAAAATAACAAGGGTGGAATCCCTTTTATCTGATCAGTCCTTTAGGCCAGAGAAGTGTGCTCAAAACACAAACTAGTGAGGCAAAGTTCGTTCTTTTTTTTCTAAAGTGCCAAATCAACCCACCTGATGTAGCTACGTCACTTTCCCCAGCAATTTCTCAGGAAACAAACGGTGCTAAGACATACAAAACAATACACAAACAACAAAATGTGCTAAAATATAAGGAAACAATAAAATGCACGAGAGAGAGAGAGAGAGAGAGAGACGAATTGAAACATGGGTTCTCAAATTTTTCGAAGAAGACGAAACAAAACATCAAACATGCATTTCCATCTCAATTCTAATTCTCCAACACACTAATTAGCAATCAACAATATCACGCCAATTTTTTATTTAACATTCAAAATTCCAGCTATAAATAATTTCCAAAGTTCAAATCAACAATCTCAAAGAATTCTTAAACAAGTCACCGATGCTTACCTGATGAATTTCTACACAAATTCACGATCGGAGGTGCTTTCTGAAGGGGAGAAAAACCACGAGGAAATTAGGGATTTAGGGTTTGAGAATTTGGGGGTCTCGGGGTTTAGAGTTTAGAGCAGAGCTTGATGACGAGAAAGGAGGAAGAGTAGGACTTAGGGGAGGACCATACGGCAGCGTTTGGATGAGGAATTACTACTAGGGTTTCTTTCTGGATCTCTTCTGAGATTGGGCCCAAATCCGCACCAATTTTGATTGGAAGTTCGGCCTTAAAGACCAGCTTTGAGAAGCCCAAAACAAAGTTGAAAGGATGAGCCCACCAGAACAAGTATTTGAGCAGAGGCACAGACTAATTTATGAAATAATTAACTCTTAAATTTTTTATTTTTTTTTATTTTTTTGAAGAACTCACAGCACTTGATTACCAGTTATTATTTAATGTTGACACAAGAATCTGAAATTTTTAAGGAGAATCTGAAATTTTTAGAAGCCACTCAACAAAAAGAATATTGATTAACATTCATTAATTATTCTGGCGTGACGTGCTAATCAACAGTTTTCTTTTCTTTTTTTTAATAGAAGACATGTTAATCAACAATTAAATCAATTGAAACCTAGGATTACTATGTACACAAAATAATGTTCAACGTGACGTGTGTAACATCCAAACTGCATGCGCTACCTATATATATAAATCTATAATGTTTGCATATTTATTCGATCAACAAATAATGTAGCATATTTAATTCCCAATGAAAGGTACCCTAAAAAATCACAATAGAAGGAATACAAAAACTAAACACCTAAGTCACCCCCTTAATTGATTGGGTAAGTTATTCTAATATATTTAGAAACAAATTAAATACGGCTATTGATTATTGCATGATAGTGATATTACAGAATAATGTTTTATGTTTATTAAGAAAGACAAATATATATATATATATACACACACACATAGTAGTGTAATTTTACGTGTGATGCACCGTGTAGAGTAATCCGAATGTTAAATTTTATTTAATGTGTTATTAAGCATATAAAATTTAGATATAAAATCTCAAAAAGGAAAAATTGGAAAAAATAAAGCTTTGGAAGAAAAAAAAGGAGTCAAAAGAACTAAAATGAAAAAATTAATAAGTTTTAAGGTAAAAGAGATTAAAATAAAATAAAGTTTTAAGGTAAAATTTTTAAAAAGAGTCAAACATGACCAAAATAAAAAATAAAAAAAAAAATATATATATATATAACAAAAAGAACCAAAACGGAAAAGAAATAAAATTTCTTAGAGAACAATGAAAAGAATAAAATTTAGACACAAAATAAAAAAAGGTAAAAAAAACCACTGAAATAAATAAGTTTTAAGGTCCCACCAAAAAGGAATATCTAAGTAAGAAAAATATAAAATTAAGGGAAAAAAGTAAAAGAAAAATTGTTCACGCATTTCGATCAAAACGTCGCGTTTTTGGTCGAAAATGCTTGCCAACAGTAAAACGCAAACTCTTTCTATTATATATATAGATATAGATACACACCGTGCTGTGACTATTAAAATTGATGAGATCTTCACCCGTGACCAGACCCCGTCAGGTCTATATCACGCATTTGGTATTTTATATATTTATATACGTGTGTGTGTGTACAGAGTTTGTCGTTATGATATTGTATTATATGGCATGCAATTCTACTAAGAAAGCACCTAATTTCAAGTGGAAAAAAAACTACTAAAAAAGCAATAAGAAGCATGCTTTTGTTAAAGGCATGACTGGGATGAATGTAGCTTGCACAAGATACACCAGGAATGACATAACTGATTAACTGGTTTAAGAAATAATTAAGAAGCACAAAATAATATCTTAATTCCTAATTTCCTATAATTACTTTTTTTTTTTTTTTTGTTCATTTTAGATGACAGCCATGAATTCTTTTTTTTTTTTTTCAGCAAGTGATGAGTCTTAAGATTTATTTAACTCAAAGAATCTTGAGATGTTACATGGTGTATCAGTATTATAAAATAAATAAAATATTTTTCCCATCAAAAAGCAATAAGAAGCATGCTTTTGTTAAAGGCATGACCGGGATGAATGTAGCTTGCACAAGATACGCTCTCCATTACATGTAAGGAATGACATAACTGGTTTAAGAAATAATTAAGAAGCAGAAAATAATATCTTCATTCCTAATTTCCTATAATTATTTGATTTTTTTTTTTTTTTGTTCATTTTAGATGATAGCCATGAATTTTTTTTTTTTTTTTTTTTTCAGCAAGTGACGAGTCGTAAGATTTCTTTAACTCAAAGAATCTTGAGATGTAACATGGTGTATCAGTATAATAAAATAAATAAAATATTTTTCCCATCAAGCAAATGATCGATCTGAACCCACCTGAAATAAATAACACAAGTAATGAAGAAAAAGCTAAAAGAATATCTAAAAGACGTTGCACTTGCAGAATTGTTTAGTGGGATTCATCATAGAACATCATGGATAAATTATTTGGTTTTCTTTTGATTATAAAAATTAAAGAGAGTTTCTCTAGTATGATTGAAAAAATAAATTACTCATAATTTTTTTTTTTGTTAAATTTGTATAAAACACTGTTTATTTTGTATAATTTTTAATATGATGTAATTTAGTCAGATCTAGAAATTAAATTCTATGGGTAAGCTGCCAAAAAAGATCCTAAAAATAAAATATATGAAACAAAATAAAACTAAAAAGCGACTGGTGAGCTGTCATAGTTCTGGTTTGCATATTTTGATAGCATCATATGTCCAAACTGATCAAATACGTGATACGCATTTACTTTAGTTGGAAATAGGGTGTAATGTATATAAGCTTTTGTTACACACATATAACATTGTTTATGAATGATTTGCTTTTCATTGTGACACTTTAAGGCCCCGTTTATTTTACTGATTCGAGTTTTTAATTTTGAGTTTCTACAGTTAAAAATTCTCAGAAAATATTATATTTAACTTTTTTTACTGCAATAAAAAACTTTTAAAAAATATCACATCTCAGCTCGAATTGAAAACCCGAATCCAATCCGTAAAGTGAACTATACCTAAAAATGTATAGATAAAATTGTATAGAAAAAAGTATTTATCTATGCATTTTTTTATGGGTAGGTAAAAATTACCTTTTACCCACACAAAAATGTGTAAGTAATATTCTCAAAAATATGTAGGAAATTAGTTGTGAAATTTAACATGGCAGATGATGTGTCTGCTGACGTGGATATTAACAGAGAAATTTAAAATTGCTTATGTGGCAATCATATGCTGACTAGGATGCTCATGTGTCAATCCATGCTGCTATTGCTCATTGGTTACATTGTTGACATCACAATGACGTGTTGCTTACATTGCAGCTTGAAAAATGTGCAGGTAAAGACCAGTATGTGTAGGTAAAAAGTTTGTCATTTTAAATTTTTTAAAAAATATATAATTGCAAATAAAGATAGAAATTGTAAATATAAATTGAGGTATAGTTCATTTCATCGATTCAATTTTTATTATAATAAAAAAATTTTAAAAATAATTATATTTAATTTTTTTATTATAGTAAAAAATTATCATATAGAGTCATATCTCAATTTAAATTAAAAACTCAACTTAGTGAACTAAACGAGCCCTGAATAAACAAAATTTAAGAATCTAAACTTACAAATAAAGATACCTTTTATTGTAGATGATAATAACATGTGTAGGTAATATATAATTATTTTCTCGAAAACATACAAACTTAGGACCTTATCATACTATTACAGTTCTACAAACCACGTACGATACAATAAAGATAACTAAAACTAATCCGAAAAAACAACTTTAGGGATTTGAGTTTTTAATTCGAGTTGAGATGTGATATTTTTTTAAAGTTTTTCACTGTAGCAGAAAAAATTAGATATAACATTTTCTGATAGCTTTTTACTGTAAAAACTTAGAACTGAAAACTCGAATCGATAAAATAAACGAAGCCTTCAAATCTCCGTAATCCATGACAAACAAGAATAGCTGCGAATTATAACTCCAGCTAAAACCTGGAAGGGGAAAACATCGAAAAGGATGAGCCGCATGTGAGAACGTAGACAAAAACAACTTCAGAAAAAAAAATTTACAAGTACAAATATTCACATATTAACAGTACACATTTCAAAGAACAAGATGGAGCAGACATTTTAAAATGATTTACCATTTTCTTAAAAGGACAAACACATCCTTCTAACCAATCGAGAGACTAAGCTGCTGATAATTCCTTCTATAACTTCTATGTTCTTCGACATTGACAACAAATTACTTGATGAAGCAGAAGCTGAAAATTGGCATAAATCCACCTAATTAGAGAGATAGAGGAAAAGCAAAAAGAAGGTAATATGAGTCTGTTTAGTTTACTGATTTAAACTTTTTAATGTAATAAAATTTAAATTTTAAATTTAAATCGGTAAAAAAACGGGATTTATATATTAAGAATACCTTTTCTTCTCTTTGAATAAAACAAAACAGAGTAGAGGTTGATATCTACTTGAGAAATTATGTAAGTATAGATATCAAGTCAATGCAAGAAAGTTGTCATAGCATTGAACAGCAACACAGCGTGAGCTTCCACATCTTATAGCATAGACGTTTGAAAAGAAAAAATAATTTATCTCATGGATAAATCATAAAAAGTGGAGAAGCGAGTTACGAACCTTAGGAGACGTATGATTCGTAGATTAAAATCATGTGATTATAACCATTTTTTATTTTTGTGTATTTTTTGTGAGAGAATACACTGTAGTGAACCATGAATCGTGATTCAAATCATAAGTTGAATCCTCCAATCAAACATTTTTTTTGTTGTCTTCAAGTAACCCAGAACAGTAAAACAAAACACCTGCCCTGCTCTCCTCAACAAATAAACAGGAAGGTGAAAATAAATAAATAGAAACACTTTGGCCCCGTTCATTTCGCCGATTCGAGTTTAGAATTCGAGTTTTGCTACAGTAAAAAGCTCTCAGAAACAGTCACATCTAACTTTTTTGCTACAGTAAAAAGCTCTCACACAAAATCACATCTCAACTCGAATTACAAACTCGAATCAGCGAAGTGAACGGACCCTTTGACTACCTAAAATGAAGTCTACTGCTTGGTGCAACAAATTCATAGAGTTTGTTTACCTC